TTTATTCAGAGAAAGTACGTTTTTGTGTCTGATTTCGTAACTTAATTAATAGTTAGCACTAATTAATTAGCATATTTGAGGTCACCCCCAGGAACCATTAAGATTGACACTTAGTTCGTGAAAATCCGATCATTAGAACGAAAGTTATTCAGGGTGATTCGTTTTTTTTTTGCGGACTGTACAACACAAGCTGACTTCTCACAACTGTAAGACTTCATCAACACAATAAATACCAATGTTAAGCGTGCACAAACACGTTAGTATACGAAACTACAGTTAGTAGTTATTTGTGTTTCAAATTCAGTAGTTATGCCAGCGAAATCAATACAGTTTCTCGTGCCAAAATTTGCAAGTACAAGAAATTCGTACTTTTTTTTAAATATCTTGTTAACATATTTAAGAAATGTATCTTGAAAAAAATTATCAGATTAATGTATATGTAATAACAGAATATTTTTAATTTTTTTTTTTTGGGGGGGGGGTTAGTTTGTCAGAGGGTTGCACCCCCTTTTATATTATTCTGCCGGCTCCCTTGTTAATTAGCTTGCTTGAGGTCACTTCCTTGAACCTTTAAGAATGACAAACTTTAACACATAACCCATTAACAAATGTTTAATCGGTAATATGCAGATTATCAAGGTAGTTTGCACATTACCAACCTAGGATGCGAAACGAAACAATTTTATGCACTTTAACGGTAAATCAACACATTATCTAGTTAGTCTGTATTAGGTCTGTATAATATCTGATTTCTATACTTTAGAAGTAAAATTTGCATTCTCAATGTGTCTTAATCAGGATCTACATGTTATTACAGTTTCTCAGCCTGAATCATAGCAAAGCGTACTTCATTAATTATATATCGCTCATTTGGTGAAACAATGACGTAACTGCAAAATCAAGTTACGTCATTGTTTCACCAAATGAGCGATATATAGAACACTCTATCCCCGCTAAAATATCGAAAGAAATGTTAAAAAAATAATAAAAAATAAAATAAATAATTCAAATAACAAAATAATCTGAATTTACCCTCTTTTTTGCCATTGGTCGCTATTTTTCAAAGGAAAAATAATATTTTTTATATCGCTCATTTGGAGAAACAATGACGTAACTGCAAAATCAAGTTACGTCATTGTTTCACCAAATGAGCGATATATAGAACACTCTATCCCCGCTAAAATATCGAAAGAAATGTTGAAAAAATAATAAAAAATAAAATAAATAATTCAAATAAAAAAATAATCTGAATTTATCCTTTTTTTTGCCAATGGTCGCTATTTTTCAAAGGAAAAATAATATTTTTTATATCGCTCATTTGGTGAAACAATGACGTAGCTTGATTTTGCAGTTACGTCATTGTTACACCAAATGAGCGATATGATGCGATTAATTACTAAATTTTATCAAAACTGAAAATTGTGAAATGAATAACTTTGGTCACCAACGCAATTAATGCCTATTGACCAGATGAATTATATTACATTTAATATAATAAACCAAACAATGGAAGCGTTCGATTGACTATTGTGAAAATCGTATTATTTCTAATAAAATTTCCTAAAGGACAAAAATTGCAAAAAAAAATTGTTTAAAACAGTTTAAAAAATTTTTTTTCAAACAGTTTCAGTTTTTTTTCTTCTCGAAGAAATATTGAAAGATAAAGTTTTGTTAAAAAATGATTATTTTTATTTTATTGGGAATATTTAAAAAAACAAACATTTTGATTGTTGATTTATCATACGTTACACCAATTAAAACCGTTTAAAGATAACGTAAGCATGTTTTGGGTAATTTTAGGCTACCCTATTGTCAGCAAAAAAAAAAAAAAAAAAAAAAAAAAAAAAAAAAAAAAAAAAAAANAAAAAAAAAAAAAAAAAAAAAGAAACAAAGAAAGCAAAGCTAATTACAAAACTCCTCCCACGCTTATTTCAAGAAAGTCACAACACTCTTACTGTAGTAATATAATTTTAAGAATAATCTAATTTTCAATTTAAATTCAAATAAACAATATAACTTTGAGTAAAACAGAATTTACATTTTTATTCATTTTATAGAAATTTGTAGCAACTAGAAAAAAATTTTCGCAAAAATTTTTCTTTCCGCAAATTTGAAATTTTAAAAATTTTCCATGTGTTTTTTTATTTTTCATTAAAAAAATTAAAACGAAGTAGACTTTAGTGTCGTATGTAAGCATTTTATTTTATTTTATAACCGTCGTTGAACAGTCGACCCAATTTCATGGGTTTACGACTACTTACGTTCAACTCCGTAGCCTTGTAATTTTGAACCAATCCAGAAGACAAGGAAACTCCTGGATCAGTACCCCCAGAGGTATTGATTTGTTGTGGTAACATGGAGGACTTTGAGACTCGACAGATTTAACGTGCATCAGTCACCATTTACTACACGGGGAGTCTTCGGCCGGCGAGGATCGAACCCACGACCTCTTGGATATGGGCCCAGCGCCCTACCGACCAGGCTATCCCGGCCTTCGTATGTAAGCATTGTTCATACCGCTCCTTCCCCCTTGTTGTCAGCAAAAATAAGCCAGCAAATCTCATTCCTAAGGTACTTACGTAATATTTGAACAGCCCATTAAGATATTTTAGGAATGTCCCCTTATAACGTTTTAGAGGCTTTCATTTCACTTTAATAATGAGACTATAATTAATTGCTTTCAGTTGTCAAAAGTTAACCAAAACTAATTTTACGAATTTTAAAATGTAAAATGTTTTTCTTTGTTATTAACTATCGTGTGTATTTTTTTAGGTGTTTGGGTGCCTATGTTCTTTTATACATGCAGTAGATAGCTATTGTGCCTACAAGACATTCCGCAGTGTTCGTTAAAGAGATAGCAGTCCGTTAGACGGAAAATTGAAGAAAAAATTCTTATAATTTTTCCAAAACATTTTCCGCAATGTTTAGCTAATTATTTATGAGAAAATGTTTTGCTTGTTTGAACGTGTTTTGTAGAACAATGTCTGATTATGTAATATGTATTTAATACACTAAACAAAGAATGCACTGTAAAAAAATTCCGGATCAAATTACGGTAAAAGGTTGTGGTACAATGAGTGCAGCATCTGTAAAATACATTTTACCGCAAAATCTATTTTTACCGTAATATTTTATATCGTAATTTTTACAATAATATTTATTTAATTAGTGAGAGGTAGTGATTATATATCAAATATTACTGTAAAAATTAAGGTACATCGTAAAATTTTAAGGTAAAAATTGCTTTTACGGTGAAAAGTACCGGCACCCCCTAATGCCGGTATTTTTTACCGAAATTTGATCAGGAATTTTTTACATTGTGATCGAAAAGTACTGAAACCCCTAATTATTTCTGAAAATAAAAATGCTAAACCAATTCGATGTGGAAATGAGGCTTTTTAGTTTTAGGATATATCAAGTCTTGATTTATCTTAAACCAAATACATCATTGCTTATGTTATTACATCAGCTCAATTATTTTTTATAAAGCGATTTTTATTTTTTGATTCCAAATTTATTTTCAAAGATAATTTGGGGTTTGGGACACTTTGTATGTAAATAATATTTAATCAAATGAAAACGAAATGAGAAAGGAATATTTATATGTTAATAGGATGAATGCATTTTAAAATGAATGATTGAAATCACCTACTTATGTATAACTTATAAACAAGGAGCTTATATTGTAAATCAACGAGCTTAAAACGCTATTCGAAATTAATTTAATTAAATAAGAAAATACAATGATTATGTAAAATTATAAAAACTAAGTAGAAACTGAGAAAAACCATATATGCTTTTTCAATTTCTTTTTGAAAAAAAAAATATTTTCAGATTATTATATTATTTAAAGTAAAGCAAAACATTCCCGTAACAGCTAGTTGTGAATCAGAGGGGTCATGGAGGTTAAGGGTCCACAATTTCGTACCCAACAGCAAGATTGTGGTAATGCGGTCAGCACTGCGCGCAGGCTGCATTTAATTCCCAGACAAGCTGGTACCCATCGACCTGAAGCTGGTTGGTCTTCAAGCCACCACTGGGGATTGAACCCCAGTTCTTCATAATGACAGTTCAGAGCTTTTTTTTCTTCTTGAAAATCTTTATATTTGAAATAATTGAATTCATTATGAATAAAAATACCGAAAAATTTTGAAAATTAGATTCCAGTATTAATGTAATTTCATATTTCGAAAAATAAAGAAAATTAAGAAATTTAACGATAGAATTGTTTAAAATAAAGTAAAGCATTCTCGTAAAAGCCCGTTTTGGGCCAGAGGGATCAAATGCGTGTTATAATGTTTGTTTAATTTTTTAACATATTTTTAAATTCAAAAGGTGGATACCAAGTAGTTTAGTAAAATAACATTAACGAGACAACTCTGGAATAAAATTTAAATTTTGCCCTGGAATAATATGCTTTACTCGTTTGAAAGTATTTCCGAAGTTGCAATTGTTTTAATCAGAAGCAACTAACTGATGGTTCCTTTTTACGAGTATTATTTTAATGATAAATTATACTATTGTCAATGCTCAAGAATTTCCAAATGTATGTTATAGTCTTTGTTTAAATTTTTTTTTAACATGCTCTTTGAATATTCTCTAATTCAAAAGGTATATAGATAAAGCAAAGTAGTAAAATAGTGTTAACGGGACAACTCTGGAATACAATTTAAACTTTGCACTGGAATAATACGCTTTAAACGTATAAAAGCAACTTCCGAAGTTGCAATTGTTTCAATCAGAATGAACTGATCGTTCTTTTTTAGGAGTATTATTTTTTTAATGATTAAGTATACTAGTTGTCAATGCTCAAGGATTTTCAAATGCGTGTTATAATGTTTGTTTAATTTTAACATATTTTTAAATTCAAATGGCAAATACCAAGTAGGTTAGTAAAATAACATTAACGAGACAACTCAGGAATAAAATTTAAATTTTGCCCTGGAATAATATGCTTTACCCGTTTGAAAGCATTTCCGAAATTGCAATTGTTTTAATCCGAACGAACTGATGGTCCTTTTTTACGAGTATTATTTTTATGAATAATTATATTATTGTCAATGCTCAAGGATTTTTATGTGTGCGTAACACTGTTTGTCTCTAATTTTTTTAAACATGAATTACACTTCTTAATATGAATGTTTTACTTGCTATGTACTTACAATGTAATATAATGTGTTTCTTATTACTTGATATTCAACCCAATATAAATAAAGGACCTGTTTCTCTTTGTTATTTTAATTTCTTGCAAACTTATGAATTTTAGGCATTACAAATCACTTTTAAATAAAGTAAAATACATTTTATTTTATTTAGAGTTTTAAGAAATATGTCACACAGTTATTAAGGTGCTATTGAAAAATTCCATTGTAACAGATTAACAGTAATTGATTAAAAAAATTTAGCATTAATTTGTTAAAAGTATATAAAATAAAACCAATTCAAGCATGTCTATATTTATAATGTAACCTTAAACCATTCAATTATATATTTAGTAAATTATAGAAATTCTTTAAATAATTTCAATAAAGAAAAGTCTGCTGTAGCAGATAAACCAAACCTAGTTTTTAAATAATTAAATATTTCGCAATTTTTATCTTTAAGCATATTACTTATAAAATAATGCTTACTTTATTGTAAAAATAATGTATATAATTAAATGGGAATTGATAAACATTGCTTGCATAAAATATAACTGCTGCCTCAAAATAAACAAAATTTAAAAAAAAAAAAATTTTACCACATTTTTTAAAAAATATTACAGTTGATGAAATATTTACAATTGGCTTACCAATTGGTATATGGCCATTTTAAAACTATAGTTTGAGATTACTATTAGCTTTAACTATATAATAAAATTAATTTAACTGTAGTTCCAAAACCACGGAATTGCTTGAATGAAAAAGGGTAACAATAAATAGTTTGTCCAAACATTTTTAAAAAAATAAAATTCATATAGTTCTAATAAGTTATTCCATTTACTACTATACTATAATCAATTAATTTTACTATACTATTTTATAATCAATTAGGTTGAGAGGCCGATACTAGCCGAACAATTCAAATTAACTATTTGAAGACTTTTCACGTAAAATTCACAGATCGTTTGTTATTACAGAGCTATGAGAAATTTTTAACTGAACACTAAGCTTCTGTTACGAACAAATTAGAGGCTGAACATAATAGTCACGTAAATGCCATGAATAAGATTTATGATAATCAAATGAGTAAAATACCACGCATATTTAATATTTCATTTATAACTCAAGTTTTAATTTTTGTTCTACATCCAAATATTTTAAATTGTTTGCATACTTCAAGAGGTCCTTTCTCCCTCGACCGGACTTAATTGTCAAAGGGGTGGAGACGGGAAGAGAAAATTCTAAATATGCTTTCAATCGTTTTCATTTAAATTTCACGATTATACTAATAAAGGATATTTACTCTATTTGAGAGTATCTTTCGGTGAAAAATATAAGACCGTCGCTCAATCAGAATTTGAGATATAAAGCGTGAGGTATTTTAGATTCTCTTTTAATTACATTACACCTCACAACATTACACCCACAGAAACAGTTATTAGTTTCGTTTAAAACTTTTGCTAAGCATCTTTATGTGCGTGCATGTAACGTTAAAAGAAATTTTTAGAATCATCCAAATCATCAAATTAAACTGCAATAAATTTTTTATTAATCTGTATCTGAATCAAAAATCTGAGCAATGAGTAGTTTTAAATAACTTACTTAAAATCACAAATCGCATCACTTTATTACTTTAAAGTTTTAAGGAAAAATTCATAAAAACTTATCAAGTGCTATATCTGCTAATTTAATAAAAGCGATCGCTATATGTCCTACCTAATTTGAAAGGTATTGTATTGTCTAATAATACAAGTATATGATCAAAAGTTTGTCAAGATCAAGAAATATAAAGAGAACACAAATTAAAAATTTAACTTGGAACCCAAGGTGGCGAGGGCAAAGGCTTTTTAACACTTAACCCGTTGATGCAGATTGGACACCGGAGTCCTTTATATATATATATATATATATATTNTACATATATGAGTATATATATATATATGATGTTATATATATATTTGATGTTGACGTCGTCTTTAAGTCGGAGAGGGTGCGATAGTTCTTGTTTTCCAGTGGCGCCATCTATAGCCAAAAATTTGACTTCTGCCACACCCATTTATAGGGCGGACCCATTTATCCACAGATCGTAATTTTGACCTGAACCAGAGAACGATCAATCTCGAATTCAATACTCCCAGAGGAATAATTTGTTATGGGAACATGGAGGACTTTGTGACTCGGCAGGTTCAACGTGCACCAGTCACCATTTACTACAGGGGAAGTCTTCGGCCGGCTGGATTCGAACTCCCGCTGTCACATGTGAGTCCAGCACCCTGCAAACCAGGCTATCCCGCCCTATGCATTTCAATATTTTTTAATTATAAAAGACAGAGCCGCGATGTTTCCAGAGATAGAGCGTTTGCCATCTAAAGAGGTGAACCAGGTTCGAATCCCGGTGCTGACATAAAATACCTCAGTGCTGACATAACCGACCACAGTGCTGACATAAAATATCCTCAGTGGCAGGCGGATCATGAATTAGAGTCACCTTGCCATCAAACTAACCGTGGGAGGTTATCATGCTCTTCCTCTCCATGTAACGCAAATGCGGGTTAGTTCCATCCAAAAAGCACTCCACGAAGGCAAAAATTTCTCCCAATACTTGATCTAGGAGTTCCCTTGTCTTCTGGATTGGGTTCGAAATAACAAGGCTACATAGTTGAACATTAGTAGTCGTAAACACAAAAATTGGGTCGACTGTTCAAAGGCGGTTATAAAGTAAAATTAAAGAAGACAGTCTAACAGCTACTAAAAAAATTCTATTAGATTTATCGAGAATTATATTTGCACTAAAATATAAAATGCAAAAAAGTAGCTTTGTAAAGAAAATTTTCTTCATTTATATTAAAAAATTTGTCAATAATTAATTTTTAAAATTAAGGAAATTTTTATGATGAATAAATGTTTTTTTCAGATCTAAATAAATGTTAATAAACGCAAAGTTTGAAAATTATGTAAGCCGTGTTTGGAAGATTTTATCTTAACGGAGAACAAAAAACCAGTTTTTCATGGTGTAT